GTCGTTGGATAGCGTGGGAAAATGGCCCATTAAAGAGGCGTCGATGGCAACGTCGTCGAGTGGAAGCTCAGATATCGACGACATGTGGTGCAAGCCGTACGGATACTTACCTCGACCGATGTGGGACGATGCGACGCAACAGACGAGCAAAGTGATGAACCGACTCACGTCTGCGCCTGAGAGAACTCTCCTATCAGTTGGTCGAGAATTGAGAGTCCGCATGGCTTCCATGTTGTCGACAGGGCTTTGGGAGGGATCCCGCCCTGGAAAGAGCTGATTTGTGTCCGGAGTATTGGGAATTATTGCCCGCATACGCAGTAGTTGATGGAGCCTAGCAGGCACCAACGTGTGTACCACATGTGAGATACTTGGGAAAGACATTGATGGATTTGACATACTCGACAGGACGTCCCACTCGTCGGCATCCCATTATGCCAGGGACGTGGTTTGGGCTCCGAATTGGGTGGCCAAGGGCCGTCATGCCACGCCACATATGGAAGATTCCAGGGCTGCGAGCTGTGTATCTCATAGCATGCAAACGAATCCTCTTCTGGATGAGCAGTATGGATCACTTCTCTGAGTATTCTTTGATTCCCGAGGTTTCAACCATGGTCTCTCTGCTTAATCGGGGCTATTGGCAATTGATTTCTGTTAGTCAGACTTCGTCAGATCTCGCTAGACATGATCCTACTTTGAAGGCCTACCCCGGGCAAAATATCCCCTTCCCGTGCCTCCTTCTTCCCTCCTTAGTATCCGTACCTAGTATCAATGACTAGAATCTTCTCGGCTAGGTAGGCGTGCTCTATTGATCGCGTGCTTCTAAATGTGATATTGCGACCAAGTCCGAAGTCGTATGACAACCTTCAAACACAAAAGTCTAAGACGCAGTAGCGTTCCGTCTGCAGCCTACCTTAGAAGGATCCAAATCCATGGGAGCGCGATTCGGATACGGGTGAATGCTGCTGGGACGAGGTCGACACCATTCTGGCTCGCTTCCTTCCATAACCGTGGGAGGAAATTGGAGTCTGGAGATTGGTTCGCGACTCCACGTGACTACAAATTGATCAAGGGCAGCAAGAATATCGCTTGCAAGCAAGCCTTAGGCAAGGATCAATGCCCAAAGGAGTCTACTTAAGCGAAACTAGGGCAAGGTTTTCGGACAACAATGCTGAAGTGCGAATAATTACCTTAAACCTGTAAATGGCCGCCCGTTGAGCAGATAAGATCCCAATAGAGTTTCTGCTCGGAACGGCTGTACGGCGGAAGCTAGTGTGACAACGGCGAGTTTAGGTTCAATAGTGTGACTAGAACTAGCGTATCTCGAAGAATCCTTCATTCTCCTAGCGTGACAGTTGAACCGATAGCCTTGGCATGCAGTCTAGCTTCTAAATATTGTCCAACTATTAGAAGTCGATTCTGGGTACAGATACTTGCGAATACGTACTTTCCATGTCGCTCGAGAGGACCACTAGAGCCTAGACATCCCCTCCCTTAGTGAAGTCTTCAAAGCCGACACAGCGAGTGGCTCCAAGAGACCTGAACCATTCAGGGAGATTTTGTTATTCCTGAGACTCGGTCAAGCTACTGTGTCGTCTTCTAGAAGTAATTCTGATGTCAGCACGCTCGCTTGTCGAATAACCGCAATCTTGGACTGAGGTGGTGGGCTCTATTATTGATATTAAACACTAGCTCTAAGATGATGTTTTGGTCTTAACCTGCTATGGCTGTCTATATACCAATGCTGTCCCTCCCGTCTCGATCATCGTGCGCCGGCTATACTGCTGAAGATCTGCGAGACTCATCTTGACGAAGTCGTATTCCTCAAGTGCCTCCTCAGAAGAGCGAGAAGCTATTTGCGGTGGCATTTTCAGATAAACGTCAGGCCGACTCATTTCGTCTCCATTTTGGTTGGTGTCTTTGGAGGATTTGGAACGGAGGACTTGGAGTAAGGGGCGAAGGGTCGGTAGGCAGCAGCATATCACGGCACTATTCGAGTATGAGTGTGAGTCCTTGACAAGAGTTATCGTAGATGGGGCATTAAGTGCCTACCAATAAGCCTCCAGTCCTGTCCAAATCATCAAATCGACGGTTCCCCATGTGGGATCTTTGTAGTCAAAGGTTGAGACTTTGACCAGTCTGATGATGGTGATGAAACAGTTGCTATTCATAAACCTTTAGCGAGTCTTTCTCGTCTGTCTGCTCGCAAGCATGAAAAGATAGAAGATACTCACAACCCGCCGAATACAAAAGACGAGATGAGGAGCATTTTCTTAAAAGGTGACATCGTCAACCTCATCGCGTAGGGTATTGGAATAAGTATCAACACGAAGTCGGTTACGATGCTACCAACTGCTATGCTGATGTATAGCTTGGAAAGGTCAAGACAGTTCTTGTGTGTAGTCCAGAAGTTTTGCACGGGTATGCAAGCCACAATCGTTGGGATAGTCTAGTTCTAGTGTCAGTACTTATTGAAAATATCCAATGGCACCGTCCCATGCCTCATGTAGCATGAGTTTATATCAACTTCCTTGTGAGACGGTAACCCTTTCAGATTAGGACTCTGCTGGCGCTCAAAGTGACTTACTGCGTATATTGCCCAAGCTCCGATGAAGAACATGAGACCGTAGAGATAGTACCTCGCACTGAAGAGTCCAAATATGCGGTGATATAATATCACTAGTGATAGCCGTGCGCTTGCGAGCCCCATTGGATACATAATCTCGTTGGCGAAGATTGTCTGATAGAATCGGGTAATGTTCATGGGGTCTTCCTCGTGGACAACTACTTCGTGTCTACCAAGTCCAAACTTGAGCCAGAACATCGTGCCGGTGAACACTCCGACGATGAAGACCTGCAACATGTGTAAGCGACACTCGCTACTAAAGAAGAAGGAAGAAGTCCACGAGAATCATGAGACTTTCAACGTCGTCGAGCCATTCTCTCAGAGAATCGCAGACTCACTAGAGCAGTTACCGACAGCCAGTCATCCCAAGCCAGCCTGCGACCAGACTGCCTCGCCGCAGCAAGCCGGGCACAAACCGAGAGAATTGAGAGGACGAAGAAGATGATGTGGATCGTATACACCTCTCCCGCTCGATTTTCCGCCCTAAAAGCAGCCTCTCGCTCCGGTGTCATGAGAGGCATGCCCTTGACCGTGTTCAACGACCGAAAGAACGACATATTGCGATGCCGACTCCGGGGTCTCGGTCGGTCGGTAGGTCGGTACAACAAGTCACGATGCTTCCATAGGTGGCAGGGAGGAAGAGGAGAAAATTTGACAGTAGGGGCAGCAGCGGTGATGGCATCGAGGGGTAGAAGCTGAGGAAAGCAGCACTAGAAGGGCTCTAGAAGGGAAGAAAATGACACCTGATTGGGAAAGTCAATGAGAAAAGAGGAGGGGAGGGGATGAATTGAATTGGACAAGCTCTGAAACGTCGTCCCGGTGGGTGACCTTTCCCAAGCTGAATAGAGTTCGACACAAGGCATTCAAGAGGGTTGCGAGACGGGAACTTTGTGTGTGCTGCCATCCTTGACAGAGTACACGGTAACGGAAAGTCAAAAAAGTGACCACCTCCTCAGCTGAATGTGCAAGTTTTGAATTAGAGTGCTACATGTTCCGGTAAAAGGAAAGCAGGCCGGTTGCCTGCTAACGCGTGTTTCTCGCGTTATTCCACCAACTGCAGCTCAGCTGGAGTAGTTGACTTAGAACTCTCTTGGTTATGGCTTGACGTTGACATGGTAGAGTTTCTGCTAAGCAGAACTTCGCTTACGACAGCTCAAATCCCGACTCTTTGCAACTCTCATTAGCATCGGTGGGCTGGCTGATTGGTTCCCTCCTCTCCGGATCTTCCACGTGCAACATTCCTTCCGTTGCGTTTCGACTTGTTCGGACAATACCCAAGACGCCGGGAACAATGTGTTCAGACAATTTGGAGACGGCTTGATCAGCCAACACATACACGTGTTTGATAGCCGGTAGAGTAGGTGGCCAGCCAGACGCGCGGAAGAGAGGAAAAGGTGCGCTTATACAACTTTAAAAGTCAATCAGGGACGAACAGGGAGAGGTCCTACCGCTGACGTCAAACATGAAGCCGAAGACCCGAAATGACTCGCCGAGTCCGAGGCTTTACATACTTCTTTCAGACAATGAGGCCGAGAATGAGAGAAGGAGGTATTTCCTTTTTGCTTTGAGGGGTATCGTGAAATATGAAGCTGTGCGCTACTCAAACTCACGAGGGCGAATTGCTGGTAGGAGGGCGCTTGGCTGTCACAGACATCTCTCCGGTCGATGGCCAGGATGCTCTATCACATGATACGTCGCGTTTGCATTCTTCGATGTCACATCAAGGGTTCCTCCGTACCTGAACCTTGGGTTTGAAGAGTCCCATGCTTGATGCAACATCAGTAGACAAAGTCGACGATCAAGTAGGTTGTTTGGAGCTTGTCACAAAGGATCGACCTCACCTGCCGCATTGCGATCCAGTGTCCAAGATGCTTTTTCACAGAAAACCACCCAAATCGCCTTCACTTTGGCATCTTTCCCCCGTCGAAACTAGTGACAGGGTCTGGCCTGCAGGAATAACGGCATTTCAGCTGAAAGAAGGTGCTGCCTGCTTCCTTGCGGCCGAAACCTAGGCCTTAGACACCAAGCCGTGCCAGCTTGTGCCTCAAGTGTTGTCGCCGTTACCTAACACCGATGCGAGTCGTGCCTAAAGGTAACAAAGTCCGACCGCATCGCACATCCGGATCAACTAAGGGCTGTCTAACAATTCAAGCCCCTTTTCCCCCCGAAATCCCCAAGCGCGGGAGCGCGGGGTAGGAGCGAGACGTGACAAGAAGCTACGTGGATGGCGCGGGGCAAGTGGCTGTATCCAAGGCGGACCTCGGCTCATCCCGAACCGTGCACCGGGCCGCACATGTATTTTAGGAAACTGATGGACAAGAGTCATGGCATTTACAAGAATGCTGGTCAGAAAGCGAGCCAGATTTGAAGAGAGACAATGTCAATCAAAGTCAAGAATGTTCCCGTCGTTGAGCCATACGGCAACCCTGCGCCCTTTGCGGAGCCGGCGTGGTACAATACCCTGACTTCTCCTTACTACGATGAAAGCCATCGGAGGGTGAGGGACTACGTGCGCAAGTACATCGAGGAGCATATCGCGCCCAATATTCAAGAGTGGGAAGAGAAGGGGCATGTCCCCGATGAAGCAAGAATTCACTTTGCCAAATCAGGCTTGGCTTTCCCAGAGTTGCCGCGTGAATATGCTGGCGATGTTCCATTACCAGGCAATGTCCCAGCTGAGAGTAAGCACGAAGCTTCAGTGTGAAGCCGTCTTCTGACATCATTCCTAGAATGGGATATCTTTCACTCGCTTGTTGTAAGCTACGAAGCTAGTAGAATATGGGCTGCCGGAGTGTCTGTGGGACTCAACGGCGGCACGACAATCGGTGTACCTCCTGTCATCCATCATGGCACAGAAGAGCAGAAGAAATGGTGGCTTCCTGGGCTTGTTAACGGGAAAACAAGCTTTTGTCTCGGTTGTACCGAGCCTACTGGTGAGTATTGTCGGACGTTTCTTTCGAGAGTGTCGTGATTAAAGGCGTGAAGGCGGCTCCGATTTGGCGAATTTGAAGACCACGGCAACCAAATCAGATGATGGAACATATTACACAGTCAACGGCCACAAGGTAAGTCAAAATACTATAAACTCTACAGATGGACTCCTGCATCTCTTCAATGCTCACGACTTGAGACTAATGAACCTTCAGAAATGGATCAGCGGTGCGATACGTGCTAGCCACATGACAACTGCTGTAAGGACTGGAGGCCCTGGTATTAAGGGCATCTCAGTCCTGGTCATTCCTCTTGATCTTCCCGGCGTTTCTCGACGCAAAATTAGTAATAGTGGATGGAACGCTGGAGATAGCACATGGGTGACACTGGACAATGTCAAAGTACCTGTCAACCACCTCATCGGGCAGGAGAACGCTGGGTTCCAGTACATTATGACCAGTAGGTGACCCTGTGAGAAGATGACATATACCTTGGCTCTTATACTGAACAAACAGACTTCAACAAGGAACGATTCATCCTTGCTGTACTCATGAACGGCCAGGCCAGAATTTGCCTGGAAGACGCCTGGGCACATGCCATAGACCGCCACACATTCGGCAAGCCACTCATGTATCATCAGATCATTCGACATAAGCTCATCACAATGGCGCGCTACATCGAATCGCACTGGGCCTGGCTCGAACAGATTGCGTATCATGCTCATACTACCGGCTCCATGGGCACGGAACTAGCATCAAGGATCGCCATGGCCAAGATTCACGGCGGACGTCTTCTAGAGCTCGCGAACCGGGAGGCACAGCAGATATTTGGTGGTGCTGGATATCAACGTGGCGGCGTTGGGGCTCGCGTCGAACAGATCAGCAGAGACCTTCGAGTGAACATCGTCGGCGGTGGAAGTGAGGAGATCATCACGGACTTGGCTGTTCGGCAAGAGATTGGTGCAGCTGTGAGTAGAGGCGCAAAGTTATGATAAGTATTGAGCGTTATAGTCCCGTAACCGAGAAACTCATCGCCGTACACCCAGTCAGCCGGTTCGTGTTGCGAGGCGGCCCGGCTCAGATCCTCTCGCAGCCTACCGAACGTGATAGAGCCAGAGCGACTGTGACTCCCCTTCTCCAAGCCTTCTTCAAAGGCAGCCCAGGTGCTGAACATGCTGCGTTTGCTCCCTGGAGCTGGTCGACAGACAGTCCCGAGCTCGCTGCCGCTATTGGGCCAGAGCTGGCTGCTGCAGGAATCCCGGGTGGTCTTGAGAAGGTGACCGTTTGCTCTGCTGAGGAAAAGGAGATCCTCGGAGAAACTTGGTCTGAGATCAGAGACCTCCTGATGAACTTCATGGGTGGTAGCAGGCCCGGACAGGCGACCGCAGTTCCGTCCGCTGTGTCACCCGGGGACTCATCCAAATGCCATGGCTGTGGTCTCTCGTCCACGGCTGCGTCGCCGGGCATGGGCCCCGCATACAACTATTACAACAATGTGGCGCGAAAATCTGAGGAGGGGCAGGCGTTGTTGCGCTCGCTTAAAATCGATCCTATCTCAGTTCGCCCAGGATGGAATTGCCACTGCGCCGTCTCGTCATCGCTGGCAAAGACACGCCTGAATACTTGCGAATTCTCTTTGGGCCGACGCTTGCTGGCGAGAAGAAGGAATTGGAGAGGGTTAGGCTGGAGGTCCTGATTGACCCTCCTCGTGGCTCCCCAATGTACGTGAAACAAGACCTTGATGACGCCGGAACCAAGCCTCCCACTCGTGCGCTTCGACCGGCGAGCGAGGCGGAACTGAAGACGTTGAAGGAAGTGCGGGAGATCCAGGAGAAAGTCAGACAGAAGGTTGGGGTTGGACGTTCGCCTGATACAAGAGTCATGCAAGAAGTCCTGATGACTTTTGGGCCCGATTGGTCAGAGAAGTTGCAGCTGTACATGCTTGCAGTCAATACTATGGACCAAGGTGTCCGCCGCTGAAGATCAAGTCGAGTTGCTGGCAAAAAATTTTCGGCGAAAGGAAGTTTGGGATTTGGGCCAAGAAGATCCCGGGAGAGCTTTCAGCAAGCATTATTACGTGCTCAGCTTTCAATGGAAGCAAGGGGGCAATACAGGGCCTGCTGTCATCTAAACAACCCTAAGCAAACTTAGAAGCGAGAACAATGACACCACTGGGATGATGTATTCTACATTTGTGTGCTTTGGAAGTGTTACTAATACGAAGATCGTCATAGCAATGTTTTCTCGAAGGAAATGGAAGGAAGTGGTCAGAAGTGACTTTGATATATGTATACGAAGCTGCCTGGGTACTACCCACAGCCTACAATCATCGCCCGAACCCGCTGTCTCAATGACGGACAACGCGATTGCGGACGTGATAATCCAAGTCATGCCTCCTCTTCCCAGAGCCAACAACTCTCGTTTCAAGTGCATTTAGCAGGCCATCGAGACCGCGCTTAGCAGAACCTCCAGATAATGTGACACCCTCATCAGTCAGGGCTTTTCTGACGTCCGCGACAGTAGCCTTCGAAGTTGAAGCCGGAGCCTCGACCTCATCAAAGCTTTTCTCCTGGTTAGTCTTGGGAACTTCAGCTGAAACATTGACGTCGATTTACTCACTAGTAGACGGCATAAGGACCTGGCTTGCCCGCCGCCTTGGCGGTTTCTCCACCGTTCAACTCTTGCTTGCCGATGAGCTTGAACTTTCCGGAAATCCCCTGCACAAATGAGGTCTCGCGGTATTCCGAGTTGGCAACGGCTTCAATGTAGCGACCTGACTTGGAGTTGATCATGAAGAGGTAGTCCTTTGTGGTTGTGAACATGCCGTCGCCGAGGTTGAGGGTCGTCGCCATGACTTTGCGAACCTCGCCGGTGCCACCTGAAGGTGTGTTGACGTTGAGAACGAGGTCTACAAGTCATTAGCAAATACAAACATTGGAACACTGTAGAATATCAGCATAACTCACCTTGAACTTCGTAGATGCCTGCCTTTCCCTTGCTAATCACACCGGACTCAAGCTTATTGAGCATGTTGACCGTCGCAGCATCAAGATCAGTCGAGCGTACAACTAAGCCAGTAGCAGAGGGAAGCTTTGACAAGGCGTTGTTGAACTCGGGGTTGATCATGTACCATTGGATCCAGGTCTTGAGAGCCCACTTCTCCTGATCACTCAGACCATACGCCTTGGACGTTGCGGTGGCGATCTTGCCCCAGTCGGCGGTCTTCTTCCTTGCCTCGAGCAACACAGCGCTGATCTCGTCGACATTGGCGGAGACGGACTGCGCCTTGGTGTACCAGTTGGCAAAGCCCTCGCTCATGGTAGTGATAAGCGTCTTCTCGTCAGCCGTGAGGGCTGCGGTCTCGGAGAGAGTGGCTACGACGCGATTGGCCAAGGGGATGGCTTCAGATGTGCCGAGGCCGGTTGCCAGACCAGTCTGGTCGTTCCAAACGGGCTCTGGTGCTTCCAGGGTCTGAGGACTCAGGAAGCAACAGAACTTGCGCAAGATGCCCTTTTGGCGGCGGACCCTGGCACCACCTCCCTCGATGCAGATTTTGCAGTTGTCGAATCCTGACGAGGTTAGCTCTGGAGCCTGATCAATTGGACTAAAGTTGGCGTTGCTTAGACTTACCTCCTTCTTCGATGGATTTTTCCATGGCAGCAACGTCGCTATCCGTGTACAGCAGTTTGGGCTTTCCATCGCCGGTATCACGGAAGATCTGCACGGTGTTCTCACCCTCCTTAGCTTCCAGCATGAGCCCCTTGCCTTCGCCAACAGTTGCCGCAGTCTTGCCAAACTTTGCCAATACAGCGTCCACGGCACCAACAGCCTTCGCTGCTGTTGCGACGTCCTTGGCCACACTCAAGAGTCCCACAACATCCGCGAAGATGCTGCCCGCCTTTTCAATATCGTTGTCGTAGGTGAGTTCGTGGATGCTCTGTTTGACTAGACGTCAGCAGAAGCACTCGACTGGGGCTTTTCACGAGGCCTGAGTGCGTGTTTACTTACATCAAAGGCTCTGAATGCGTCTCTGCATCCCTCTCGAATGGTCTTTCCGACGCTCGCCTCAAAGATGCTGGTAAGATGGCTCATCCCCATACATGTAACCTTGAGCTCTTGGACGTGAGGCGTGGCTAGAAACTTGAAAGCACCGATAGCTGAGTTGATGACGTTCTTCATTACGCCTGAAGCAAGCCTCGTATCAGTGATTGGGGCTCTCTTGGTACTAGAATCAGTCACAACTTACCCATCCAAAACTGGTCCTCAAGAGGAATATTCGACCCGGGGTTTCCAAACAGAGGATCATTTGAAGTCTGGCGCTTCGAGTTCGCGCTACCGCCTCCACCACCAACACCACCAACATACTTGATCCCAGCGAACAAATTAGAAGCGCAAGCGGCTCCTGAGGGATTAGCAACACAAGGTCCCTGGCTAATCTTCCTCACGCAAACTTCAAGCGCATCCGACGCATTGGCTCCAGTGCGAGCTTCAGGAAGATCCAGACAAAAGGCAGGCCACAAGTGAAGGATACAAGTCTTGTTGGAAGGATTGGCATCGCAGCCGCTGGGGATGGTAGCAAAAGAGCGCGCAACGATGCAGTCGGTCGAACCCATACTTTCTAGCATGGATGTTGATGTGTTGCCTTGGTCGGCGAATCTGCACTGAGGGATATCGCCTTCTGATGCTGGCGGAGTGGTGCCAAAGGAGGTGGATGTGAGGTTTGTCAATTGCGCTTGCGGGTAGTACATGGTCCCCGTGGCGGGAGGAATGACGAGCTTTCCGGTGTCGTTGGCGTACGCGCAGAACTGGGTCTGGCTGGCTGAGGGGAAGGTGAGGGCTTCGCCGGCGTTGGCGGGCCTCTCGAGGGCACCCAGTGTTGAGGAGTAGATGAAGAAGGGCTGCTTGTCTCCGGGAATGCCAACCTGATGAAACTTTTCGTTAGGGAAACCCTTCGTAGCTCAAGCAAGTGAAAACTTCAGCTCACATAGAATGTCTGGTTCTTGGCCAGATCGCATGCAGCAACCTTGACAGTACCGCTGGAGACATCCCAGCAGCCACCACCGGAGCCTCCTCCAGCAACTCTGATCCCCGAAGGATCGGTGAAAGATTTACCACCGGCCAATATTCCGTTTGTTAAGTAAAATGTGGTAGCTAGATCGGCAGCCGTGCCACCCGCCATCACCGTGTCAGTATTAGACTGAACTGGTGTGAACGTTTTGGCATCCCCCGTTGCGTCTTGAAAGCTTGCAGCGCATGATGGTGTATTCTCGGCCGTAGCAAAGAACTTAAGCGGCATTCCAAGAGCCTGTATTACAGACGGCTTTTGTCAGTCCCGTTGTCCTTCTTGCGATATTGGGGAGTGGTGGTCCCAGGAGGAAGCTAACCCATTCAACCGTGTTGTCTGTCTGACCATTGGTTCCAACCGCTAGCAAACCAATGGCCCCAACGAGACTCCGAAGAGAGTCCCGTGATTTCACCATGATAAAGGCTGAGAATGACTTAAATGAGGAACGAAAAGGAGTCAAATGAGTGGTTATAGGTTACGGTCAAAAGAGTGACTGAGAGAAGGAACGGCCGAAGCTGACCAAACAAATCAGGGCCCCAACGCCTCGTAGGGCAGCCGGCGTTCGTTTTATCATCCGAACATGATCGCAGAGCAATATCATAGTCAGTCAAACCACTTGGACTAACAACAACTTACTAGCTCGGTCTGTCCGCTGTACCCGACGCAAAGGACATGATCAAGTTGCAACAGGGGTTTTCAGGCACACTGCGAATAAAGTTGCGACGGTTCGCCTACATCGTCATGCACTCACTTTTTTCAGAGCCATCAACTTGACTCAAGACTAGGGAACCCCTTCTTGCAGCTCAGAGAAGAGGCTGTGTAGGCCTGGCCGGCCTCGCAGGCCTAGAATCATGGTATGTTGTCTGGGCTTGATAACCATCCTTCTCACCAGACCTGTTTGCTTGTCATGGTTTCATCTGTGAGCCTTGTGGGGCCAGCCCATCCGATCGGCTGCGTTCGTTCGCTAGGGCAGTGATAAAGTTTAAGCCATCTTCATCAAATTGACGCTCGGATCTATTTAAAGACCACTGGCCACCGCGTGGCATTTCCCCTCTTGACGAAAAAGAATCCTCCGCAACCTTATTAGAAGTCAAGTTAATACACCTCGTTTGGTATGTGAACAAGGCATATGGTACACATTTGCCCGTTAAAGCAATCAACTCGTAAAGATTGACTTCCAGTGTTGTCTGAAACTAGTTGACTCCTAGGAACATGCTGAGAACATGGCGAAGTAGAAAGATGGAAAAAGGCCAAAACGAGTTTTGCTTTGAGTCAGATACGATGATTATGTAGTGGTATTCAATCATTCAATACGAGACGAACATTAGGCTTGGGCCAGGCGCGTTGAAGTTTTTATGACATGTAACTGAGCTATTCGGCCCATTTCGTCTCTTTGCGGGTCTACCAACCAAGAGCCGAGAGGGAACTGCCGCCTGGCCGCCGGACGCCGATAGACAGCAGGATGCTCAACAGAACTCCGAGTATGCCGACAGTCTCGTACGAGGTCTAGTCAAATATGCCGCGCGCAATCGAGCGAGTCATGCTATGTTCTTGGCTAGTTTCTTCCTTCTGGGCCTCGAGGGGCAGGTGTTGGGATGCCAAGCTTGACTTCACCAGGTGAAACATCTTAAGAATAATCGTTGCTAATAACGATTGCCCTCGCCCAATATTATGTGATTCGTAAAAGGTCACAAGCTTCCAAGGAAGATTTTCACTTTGCTATAAGAGAACTGGGCAGCCTGAACCTAGTTCTAAGAATATGTGGGCTACGAACGAACTTCCGGCCCCCGGGGCTAGCTGGAATTAGACGAGCATAACCCCGACTGAAGTTATCTTTCGATGAGGCCATAGAGGTTCGCCTTCAACTTTCTTTTTCTGGGATCAGTGGCTTTTTTTTTCGCTAGAAATTTTCCTTTACCACGCATACGCTAGGTTATCTCAAACGCCATTGCCAGGAGCAGGCTATGATCATCATGGATTGTTCGGACATCGCGACAGCTGGGTAGAATATCCAAAACTTCTGCTGATGTATACAACCCATGGCAAAGTTGGGTCTTGATCTTAGAGTGACTTCTGAGCAGTGACATGGAGAAAGTCTTGACACAAAAATTGGTCTTGACCCAGGGGTCAGCGGCATTTGTGAGCACGAGTGGGCTGATTTGGAATATTCTGTTCTCATAGCCCTTGATGTAGAGCCGATATTCAAGATAGTGTTCAATTAAAGACTTCTGGTGTGTTGTTGACTGCTGACGTCGAAGACTGGAGTTTGTAGGAGACGGTGCCATGTCACATGAGCCCCATCACGCCGACTGCCAATCCAAATCAGCAATCCATCCATCCATCCACTAGATCACGCCTGATGTCGTCGCAGATTTCACAGACTCCTTCAGATCGACCCGCTCAAGCTGACGGGAAGCGGCGGTCAAATACGTCAGGCCGCTGTTCAGGTGCACGCGTAGTATCGGCTTGCCAGTCGCTGTGCAGATCCTGTTGTCAGGGCCTTTAGACCGGTATGCCTCAACTTTCTGAGCGTCCCATCTCATGTCCTTGACCAAGTCGAGAGTTCGCTCTGCTCATGGCCCCTGGCCAATGACGTAGAGTTCGCTGAAATTGTACCCCAATGACACAACGGCACGGTCGTACTCACAGTCATGCTGTAAACTACTTACAAGTCTCCATTCAATCGAGTAGACCATGACAGACAGGGCTGCTGGGGTTTGGGGTCAATCCACTAACCGACTTCCTCGACATGTGTGCACGGCAAAGCCAGAATCTCGCCACATGCTTCTGGTAATTCTGGCATTTGGGTACCTGCGGGTGGGAAGATTGTGTTTTACATGACTGGCCTGCGCGGTACTTTATCCTCAGGGTCACTGAGGTAGATACATTGTCAAATGAGTAGGGGTTGTTCATTTATGGTTGGCAAGCAAAACCACGCTAGCGGGGTAGGTTGTTGCCTCAGTTGCTGGCATATGCAGGAGGCCGTCAAACCTTCCATCTCTCAGCCTGTAAGCACTGACGCGGTAATATCTATACACCCTATTGCATGCAAGGCGCCTGCAGCGTGGACCAACAGCCGACGAGAGATGAAAACAAGGCGGATAGGACAAGCGGTAAGGTCAAGACAAATGCAGCGAGGGGTTGTCGAATCAATACCGATCACTTAACCCTCTTGATCATAATGACGAGCATCAGTTGTTCCGATTGGTGGAAGCCTGTTGTTATCATACGGCACAGAAAGCATATCAAGGCTATGCTTCCAAGCAATGGAAAGATTCCAATATCAAATGCGAAACCTGCTTCCATAGCTTATACGAGGGCTGACCATCATCCACGTTACACAACGGCATCAATTATCGACCGCATTGAACCTTTTCTCTCTCTCTCTCTCTTGGTAATTACGAATAATCGACTGGTTTAGTCTACGAATAGTCATGACCCTAGAAATCACTGGAAACTTACAGAAACGGTTTGTGCAAGACGCCGTTTTGCTTCACAAGCTAGACCCAGTAAGGGGTAGTCCAACGGCATACGGTCTGGATCGACACCCTCATGACGCGGGTGTTCCCCGAGAAGAGTTGCTAAAGCGAAAGTTTCTCGATTCTTTCGCTCTACTAGCTTCAACCCACAAAGATGGCGACACAGTATCGGCGGCCACCTTAGAGGTAGGAGCGCCTGAGGGCTCGGTCATTCGCATCGCTAGTAATGCTGGGGTGTCCGCATCGACACTGGTCCTTCTTCGGGGAGTGATGGAAATTCTTCATGACGTATCTGCTATGGGTAAATAGTGACTCTTGATTTGTGTTATAAGACTCATACTGACATTTATGCAAGGTCTCACGAACGAGCGGAGACTGAGTGTCCTATTGAAGATGATTAGTCTCGACAAGGCCAAAATCTGGTATTATCTTGCGGACCTCCGGAAACATAGATCAGAAATTTTGAGGCTTGAGCAGTTCTTGCCGAAGCTTTCATCCACCTTTGAGGTCAACGAAGTCGAAAGGTTCACTGCATGGATGGGAAAATTTAGTGCGATCACAACCATTGCAACCGGAGCGCCTCCATCAGAGCTCTTGCCTTACATTTTATGGGCAGAAAAAGCCAAATGGGAACTTTCCACCTGTATCGAGGCTCTGTTCTCTGTCCAGAGCATACCAGTGCCCTCTTGGATATACAGTATCTACAAGCTAGGGAGGTACGGGGTCGCATCAATAGCGTTGTGTAAGCTTCCAGCAGAGTTCCCCGCCCTCTTTTGCCCGATGCGTATAGAACCTATCGAGCCCATCTCAAGGCTTGAATTTTCTATTGCAAAAGGCGAACGGCCTTTGAGAGATGTTCTACGGAGAATCGCTGGAGACCAAGACGAAGAATTCGCGAGGAGATTGGCCACAATCTGGTGTGTTACAGATCCAGAGCCGCGCTTCCGGAAGGCCTGTCGTCTTGATCTCGCTGTTCATGCTGAGATGCAACTTATCGGTTTCTACGACCAAAATCCTGAGCTTATGCCGTCATTCCGGTTCATAGGTGTAAGTAAGAAGAGTTGCTTCTTGTGTCATAGGTTCCTCCAAGACCACCCGGTATCCTTCTCTGTCTCTTCCTGCCATCAGAAGCTGTACTTGGCATGGAGGTCCCCACCGACATCCGACAGAAAAGTGTACAGGACGTACAAGAAAATTGTCACCAATTTGTGTGTTCAAATGGAAGCAACAGCCAGACGAGAACTTCAGAGCCGGATTGGCAGTGCCAGAGCTTTCCAGCTAGATTCTACCGCCGGGGTGTCCTTAACAGGTCTCGTTGATTACAGGCCTCTCAGCCCTGCAGAGTCTCTGGACACATCCGACGCGCCTTTTCCGCTTGATTCATTACCAGAGCCTTCATTAGAGACATCTGAGGACGATTATAGTGATGATCATGCAGGCGTCTCCCTTGAGACAGACAAAGAGACACCTCCCACAGAAACTGATGGAAGACGCCCCGGGGAGACAATCACATCACCTTCACGAGATTCTAGCGGCGAACAACATACTGCAGAGTTTGTGTTCAATGTCGGACGTGCTGGCGACCCTCAGAGGCGAGAACTTGTGGTCTTGGAAGACATCCTGGATACGTCACAGAAGCCTTCCTGGCGAAAGCTGATTGAGATTCTAAGCAATGATGAGTACTTCGGGGTAGGATTTGTCGAAGAAGAGGAGTTTTTGATGGTCAATGAAAACCTATGGGTTAGAGATGAGCGTCAGTTCCTTGCGTGTTTGCATTTCTTACGCAACTCAGGTTGTCGCAACGTGGGTGTCGTGGTTCGTACGTTTGACTCGGTGAAATCGAAGAGTCCTTAAGGTAAGGTAGTCTAAGTATTTCATCTAGATAATATTTCGGTGTTGCAATTCGGGATTGCAATGATGGTATTCGCCCAGGTCTTGTGCATCTAGGAAGGTTGATATGAATTTCGGAATCGCATGATTACTTGTTCTGGCATGATCTGTCCTGACTTCTATCATTGAATCCAGTTAACTAAACGCATGTACACGAATTTGACTTACCTCGGGCCAAAAGCTATTCATATAGATAGGGTACACTGATCTACTTAACTTCGGCTATAATTGCTAAAGGATAAGAGTCTCTGCGCATCACTGAATCCCGAACTCCAATGCTCTAATAGCGGGTTGAATCAGAAGTATTCCTGTGCAACCATACTTTACATGTTCACTATGCTAAGGTATATTTAAAATGCTGTCATTGTTATGTTACTGGGCATGACAAACTCTATCCACGCATCAGTGAGCAAAAGTGATCTCGCAGAGTGGCGGAATTATTGATCAGTACTTTAATGGGAACCCTTCAAAAGAATACTGCAAGCGGAAGAAATACTAAAATCGAAATAGTCGTATACTGTCATTTGCCAGAAATCTGATGAATAGTGGTAAGAAACTACAAAAAGCAATTGTCCTCCCCAAGGTGGGCTCGAACCACCAACCTCCAGATATCTATATCTTTTGCTCATAGTGAACAACCTCAATCATAACAGTCTGACGCGCTAGCCAATTGTGCCATCGGGGATTATGTAATTCGTTGTGCATTGCCAACTTGAAAGGGTATTGTGTTATGGATCATGAGTGTGGAGATAGTGGGCTTTGCGGCAAGGAGGAGGAACCAAGCAAGTCCACGGCAAGCTACTCGCTGTCCGAATACTGATGTGCTGTAACGTGCCTCCCTGCTCCTCCACGACACAGGAAGGTCATTCCGTCCCTAGTCTTTTGTAAGGGAACCTGAGAGAAAGTTGTTATGTTCTCAGGGTTGATAAACTCTGAGTATCAATTGGAAGATCAAGACACGTCTCTTATGAACAGGCGATGTACACAGTTCTGGATGTATCTCGGAGACATAGCTGCTGGAAGGTATCCTCCTTCGAGCTTCCCGCAACACGAGCCTATCACATTTGCGCTGGTCGGACAAGCGAGTGTCCGAGGGGTAGTGGTCTCAAGATGAGCTGGCCCAAAGACATGGACAAGGGCCAATCGATTTCAGAGAGCCTTGTCATCATCTTAACAGAGTCAGTCGTCGATCTTCGCGTCATAGCTAGTGATTCTGGAGTTCATGGTCTAGGTTATTGTGGCTGTTCGTCTCTCGAACAGTTGAGCTTTTGTCTCGCAACCGGTGCAAAACGTGACATGGCATGCGAGGACGTCAGTGAGCCTCTACGTTTTGATGTCCTGCAGATACCCTTCGAATTGAAAGCAACTGGAACTGCACCGCTTTCTGAAGGATGTTCTGGGACATTCATCATAATCCAGAAGAGGTGAATGGTTCCAGTCGACTGATGCTGGCGAAGGAGCTCCCTCTTTCGGGTGAGGTCATCAATGCAGGCGACCTCCCACCACGATCGCTATACCTTGACCAGTCAGCGCGATTAAGTTATCAAAAGGGCCATATCTATCATATTAGGATATCCTGTGAGTAGTTATGAACTGAAATGCGAAGAGTGAGGCTTCGGCGTCATATACTGGACCATAAAAGGCATTCCCCCTTGCGTGTGGGTCGTGAACGAGCATGATGAAGAGATATATGTCGTTGTGTCCAAGTATCGTCCTAGTCGAATGCTCACTGACGGAGGTGCAAATGTCTCCGCTGCAGGAGTGGCTCCTGAATTTAGGTGTGCTGTAAGTCAGCATCTTCCGACGTCCTCTTAGCTCGTCTACGATCCTGATGCAGTCCTTTTCTAGCCCTGCTTGTCGAAAGATCTCACCCCCTCGGGCCGAGGGTGAGGGAGTATCTATCGTAGTCTTTTCCCTTTGGATGAGAAAAGAAGGATTTGGCGTGATATCCATCTCTAAAGGGCCCAAGAAGGAGGTTTTTGTTGAAGATGACCGCAATCCGCTTGGCGCTACTGCTCTTTTCAGGAATAAACCGGATCCGAGGATAATAGAAAATGAGGGAAAGGAGGCATCCGGCAAAGTATCAGCATAGGCGCCTCAGAACTTGAATGTTACTTGGGAATAGGAATCTACTATGTTCTGTCACACATAGTAGTGCAAGTCTTTTCGGCTGTATGAGAGCTGTCATAAACGGAACGCGCCTTCTTCCAAGATTGAGCTGAAGGTGTCTGACGAGGAACCATTCGCAACCCCAACATGACTAGAGCAAGGTAATTGGCGGCACCAGGTGTCTCTACAAGTTTCGTAAGGGACGGGATGCCGGACGCCCGCTATTTTGTCCCGCTATGCTTGAACTCTTAGCTCAGCTGATGACCCTGCGCTGGCCAGCCGGTCCGGGACCCACTCGTCGGGATAGAAATCCACTTATCTCCGGATTGTCGGATTCGGGTTTCGGCGGTGCGCTGGCGATGGGCACCGCAACGGAAATCCGCGCTCAAACCTAGGACGAAATGCCTTTTGCGGCTAGAAAACATCAGGGGATCTTTGATAACAGATCACTCATGTGATGTAGGTATTCCGACAATTTAGGAACCACAGCATCTGTGAGCTTGCGGAGTTGTGACATCCGCACGATAAGGGAGGATACTCACCCGAGGGAGCTACGTCAACCTAACTTGATTCAGGAAAGCTCCTAGAGGCATAGAGTGAGTCTCAGGCATCAGATGCATCATTATGGCAACACGCATTCCTATAACCGCTAGTTCACCTCAGCCGTAGCACCCATCGAGACTGGAATAATGGTATTTGTATCTTGAATCAACGCTTGGTATCTCGACCCTGATATGCGACTAAACTATAGCCAGCAGACCAGTACCTGGGTGGCAGCTAACGTATTCAAACAGCTGCTGCTCGGGTTTCAGTACCAGAACCTCGTGGAACAGACGGAGCGACACGTTATTCTCCAGCTTCTTTGCATACTGCAGAAAGCCTCCAAAGATTTCCAAATGTGTCGAGTGTTGCTTAGCCCATCCCTCAAGTGAGCCCAGCTCATCGAAGAATGCCAGTCCAAAGGTGCGATCCTTGTCGACCTTGCCCGTCACGGGGTCAATTAAATCCATGAACCGGCAGCTGTGACAACCAACTTCCTCTCCTTGATCGCGCAGGAAGTTCATTCCCTTGATGAGGACAGGGTGCATAGTATTGAGATAGAGCTCGCGCTCCTCGGGAAGAGTGTCGGACCAGTCTTGGCCGGAGCGAATGATGGCCAAATTGCGCTTACCACCGACTTTGACTCTGCGAGATAACGATGTTGTGTTTCCGTTGGTACCGTTCGTCCCGTTGGTGTGGTTAGTCGTCGCTGGTCGTTCAACTTTCTCTCCAGCCAGCTCATCGTCCTGAGCAGCAGCCATGCGGTCACGCATGCTACCCCAGTAAACATGCTCCTGGATCGGGCCCCTAACACATTCTCTCATGTGTGCTGCACCCTCAGGCACTTCATTATTGGAAAACACCGTCTCGAACCGGTCGATTGTTGGGAAGAAGATTTCGAGGAACCATCCGTTGCTGTGTGACCCAGCCTCGAGCTCCTCCCACCATTGTTGGAACCCTGAGTCGACGGCCCATTTCTCGTAGGCTGTCTTGCTCGGCCAGTATGCGAGGTGAGCAACGTTGTAGTAGCCCTTGTTGTCGGTGACGGACGCCCACTCGGCGAACTGCGGGCGGGCCACGGCGTCGACAGCTTTGGAGGTGGTGAACTTGGTCAACTGGGCGACGGCGGCGCCATCAGCGTTGGATTGAGAGGTGTACTGGGCACCGATAACAGCGAAGACGAGGTCTTTCGTGTCCTTGGGGAAGCTGGCGCTATAAGCTGGGAAAGGAGGTTGAAAGCCAGGTGGTGTCTTGGCAGCGATCTTTCGGGGGCACTGCTGGAGGTGCTCTGGGATTGCGGAGACAAGCATCTTGCGTAATACGGTTGATGGGATTGGTGACAAGGGGGGATAGAGAGTAGCCGGCCGAGGAGAGAGAGTCGGGGGACTATGCTTTTAAGCCACACCAAGGGGCTAGGAACCTGACTGATACCAAGAAGCGGAGGAACAAGGCCGCATCTTTGGAAGATGGTCTAGGGTCAAGTCGAAATGCCATGCTGAGATGCAAGTACAGGGATGCTTGACGAGAAGCAATCGGCAAAGGTCGTGTCGTTTCCCAAACGATCAAGTCCTTGGGATTGATGGGGTCTGTCCCTACAACCTTAGTTGCGACTCCAAATACCAACTTGGCGTAGCTTCGAACCGTCGTTGCATCATGGGACGAACCAGCATGTCGGAAGATCCGACTTGTTATCTTGACGATTACAAGCCATTTCTGCCTTATGTGCTGTCAACCCAATTCCGAACGACTTTATCTCATATGGCTACCAGTTCAATGTCTCGCGCCCACGAGGGCAGTAGTGAGCTAAGAAAGAGACGGTTGACTTCCCCGGGCACTGACTTTACGCTAAGTAGATGGCGCACCGAGACGTCTCCGCACCAGGAAATAACAAAGAGACATTCTCCAGCGGGACGGCAAACGCATGATAGATATGACTGCGCGTCACGTCTTGGGCAGCACTCGGAAAGGTCCCTCTCGCAGGGGTCGCAAACTATTGACATCCTGACCAACGTTCCACCAAGCGCGCAAACTCCACCCGCGGTGGGCAGAAGGACGGCCTCCCCAGGCTTCCCAGCCTGCTGCAGCCTCAGAATTGCAAAGACAGGCGCAGATCTATATTGCGAGCCCCGACACTAGTCCCTCAAAGACGACTTTCACGATTCAGGTACGGATGGGGATTCTGTTCGAAAGGCCCCTTTTTCCCACGGCAAGATGTCGGAATGCAACTCAAAGTGTCAACATGGCACCATAAGGTCCTAGTTTGACCCCCTGGTTCTATAGTGTTTTTTGCTTCCAAGATCCCAGAACTGGCAAACACGCGCCTAGGGCATGACTGGATTTGGACAGCGGGAATTTTGTATAATTCATGCCTGGCCCCAGCAGAAGCCTTTTGCTTCCTGGGTTGAAAAGGGAGGCCACATCACATTGCAGAGGTGAGGGGCGAAACTTGCGGACGAGAGACCACCGCAACTGCATAGCCCGCATCTTCCCACCCGGGCACTCCCCCACCACCAGCGCCAGCTCACACCATGGCGACGCCGTTCCAAGTCGAGGCTTGGACCGAGTATGCCATCGGCTTGCTCGTGCTCCTGATACGCATAGTCTATCGGACGAGACTCGTTGGGACCAATTGGGAAGGAGATGATTATTTCGCGGCCATCGCGGTGTTGTTCTGGACGGTAAGGGTGTCCTCACCCAGCGCACGACCGCTTTAAAGATAGAGTTTGGAGCTGACCCTTGGGTTTCTAGGGCGAGTTGTTGATGCTTGAGATGATCGGTGAGGATTCCGTTGACAGCCCCCTTACTTCGCGAGATCGGATCAAAATCTAACTTTCTTTCTCTCCGCTTCAGGTCGATATGGTAGCATCACCGGAATGAGCGATGCGATTGCCCTGACGCTTTCGGACCAACAAAAACAGTCAATCGTCATTGGTAGCAAATGCCTTCTGGCAGGATGGGTTCTCTACGTTACCCTGATCTGGTGCTTGAAAGCGTGCATGCTTTTCCTCTACATGAGGCTCACGTACGACCCACCAACTAGTCATCCTCCCTGTGGAAGGTTAGCTGACGTTTTGGTTGATGGGAAATAGACTTAACTTGCAGCAGCAAAAGATGGTGAAGATAACTGCCGGAGCGTGTGTTCTATGCTACGTCGCCACAGTCCTTGTCATCATGACAAAGTGCATGCCAGTACACAGGAACTGGCAGATTTATCCATACCCTGGCGGTTCGTTTCTCTCCTCGCTCGATTTTGATGGACCTCAAGTTGACTTGCGGATACAGATGCCTGTGCGCTGAACATTCCTAACTACATTGCACTGGCAATTACCAACGTCACGTATGTCTTTCCGAAGGACACCTCACAGCCCTATGACTTGTGGAAAATGTTCTGACACGGAGATAGAACCGACATGATGATTCTTTACATCCCAATACCATTGCTATGGTCTGTTCAGATGCCAACGGCCAAGTAAGTCAACTCCATGGCAAACTTAGTTTATTTTAGTTACTAATGATGGTCAGGAAAATTATTTGTTCTTTGTGGCTCTGCACAGGCGTCTTCATCATCATTGCCACGCTTCTTAGGTGCATCCTCTGCCTGCAGGATGCAAAGTCGATCAACCTAGGCACCATTTGGTCCATCAGAGAAACAGTAAGGCCCACGTTCCTCAATCCAATTTACCGTGCCCCCCCCCCCCCTTCTCCCTTTCTGATCCGGCAAACTCTGATTCCGTTCGTTCATCCCCACTGACCCCGGCTTTTTCCCACCCCGACAGTTCGTCGCAATCCTAGCCGTCAACGCCCCGGTCCTGGGTCCCTGGATCGCCAAAAACGCTTCGGCCGTGCGATCCCGCACGTCAAAGAACCGCTCCAAGACGGGCGGCCAGGAGTCGGCTAATCACATCGTCACGATTGGCGCGAAGAGCAGCAGTCATCGTCTCGATAAACTGACCAAGGATGGTCGCTCGGCGAATATGGGGTGGACCGAGATTGATAACGACAGCGAGGAGCGCATCATGAAGAGCCTACACGACGTATCGGTTTCGGCTAAGCGTTCGGACGAGGAGATTCGCAGTAATACGGGCAACATCCATGTCAAGACTACGTTTGAGATCTCGAGGATGGCGTAGGGCTTGGTTCGGCGAGAGAAAACACCACGATATCCATGTTAGATAATGTACAGTAAACGATTAGCTTGTAATTAGTGTACAAGCCCGCCTCAAAGGCGTTGGAACTTTGGTTCGTAATATGAAGAGGAACCTTGACACGTCATGGCCATGAATGTTTTTGGTGTTAGTGCGAGTCTGTGATCACATATGCGTTTTCTGGCCCTCTTCTTTAGAGCGATTGTTATCGCGTCTTGGTTTAGACCAATACTCTGGCGCCAACGCTTTTGTTCTAGCTGTGCGACCGGAACACCCCAGAATCCCACGAGTCGAGACA